GATCTCAGAATCAAGAGCTTTCAGAAGTGAGCATGAAGATATGTTATAGTAGATTTGATTAGTCACCATTTCAACTCAATCTCTTACCATCAAGATCTCTGATTTCCTCCAGAACTTTGAAGAATGGTGGAAAAAGGATTTTAGATCCAGATCTAGGGTCATGTCGGGGTCTGAAGGAGATCTTCATGAATGCCAGGCTGTAAATTCATAACTTATCTCCCAATATAACGCCTTCCTCATGTTCCCCAAGTTGCGCCACACATGCAACTGGCCAGAAATATCTTCTCTCACCCGGCGACAGACTCACGTCGCCCGACGCTTCAACTCTTCCCCGCTCAGTGACACACACGCGAAGCAAGACAAAAACATTTGGAAAATTAGCTCCTCTCGCTCCGTCACCGAACAACACATACGCGATGGCCCTCGCCCGGCCATCGCCCGACAATGCACACCAGTCCATCAACTTTTGTTGCTTTATCTGCACAACTTCAAATATCTCTCTCTTTTTCCTTATTCCTTTATTGATGAAACACACATCTTGGAGCTCTAATTGGACTTTATTCTCAATGTTCCAATAATGTAACAAATACCTACAAAATGAATACAAAACTATCAAATGATACACTATATACACGAAAGCACAAATATATACAAACTAATTATATTTACACAAAGTTGGGTTTATTCAACCTATATTAACAACAAAGAGTCGATAAGTGCAACAAAGAGTATATACAAAAATAACTATAATTTGCACTTATCAAACTCTCCCCAACTTGAACTTGTTTGTCCTCAAACAAGAAACAAACAACTCGAAGAAACGAAAACGATCAACCAAAGAATCACGAATCGACAAGTTTTGAAAACAGATAACAAATGCAATGGTTTAAATGAAAAAAATACACACAAAGTAAACACTTACCACTAAACTACGGCTATAACATAAACACGAAACAAATGCTAAATACAAAAATCATGCCAAACACTCTAAAACAAAAATAGTTTACATTTGAATCACACTTAACAAAATCAATCATCGGTAGATGACAAACACATAAAAATAAGGTATTTTCACTCATCTAACAACCTTGCAAACAAAAGACTAAATTATACACTCATCCAAAAATTCATGTTGAAGACATAAATGTAAGAATCACAAGGACTTTTCAAGGTTGTAATATGAATTGGCTAACAAACAAGGGATAAGCCCTAAAGCTAATTGAAACAAAAACTTGCCTTAACCTAAGGGAGTGATCAACTCATAAAGACTCAAGAAACACAATTTCAATCACACTTCTTTTTCTTTCCAATTTTCAAACCAATCACAATACTTATTCGCACAATTATTAGAACTCTTTTTTTTGTTTTTTCAAAACTTTTTTTTTGTTTTTTGTTTCTTTTTATTATCACTTCTTTTTCACATTTTTTCTTTTTCTTTTTCTCAACCTCATAGAAATCACAACATAAGCACATAAACATTTCTCTCCCCAACTTGAATTCAACCATCATCATAATATGAATACTCCCTACTTTCTAAGGCAAGGCAAAAATTCAAACTATAAAATCATAGTTAAGGATTCAAGAAAACAAATAATCAATGTCCATACAAAAATGAGAACCAAACACTCATAGACAAGCATTTATAAAAAAACAACATGGACATCGACAAAAAGGCTCAAAAGGAGATACTAATGATCACACACTCACAAGGTGAATTGACTATTTGGCTAGGTAGTTATGCTCAAAAGAAAACAAAATGCCTTGATCACTTTCTTGAATTCATACAATCAACACAAAATAAAAGATTAAGCATAATAAAATCCAGTTAAAATAAGAATTGTGGTCTCAAACATATGTGAACAATGGAAAGCTACCGCACAAAAAGAGTAGGAACTAAAGTGATTCACAAATGAACAAGTATACAAAATAATGAATGGCATAAAAATTGTAAAAAGTCTAAGTATCATGAATATGCATAGAAAGCGATAAACACATACCTCAAACGTGTACAAAACCTTAACAAAATCATAACCACGCATTTGCAAGTCAAAACGATCAAACTTGACAAATCACCTCAATATCCTCAAGCTATTCACAACAAGCTCAAAGATAAACACAAAATTGAACACAAATAATATACACATACTAAAATACCGAATGAAATTGTCTAAACAAATCTAAAAGTGAAGATATGAAATTTAAGAACTAGTCTGAGTTAAATTTATTTAGACAATTGCATGCAACTACCTAAACTAACAAAATGAAAAATAATAAAACATGATTGTTTTACGTCGTAATCTCGACGCCTATTATTTAAGAACGTTTCTCCAAGTTGCTTCCATCCGTTTATTCCTAACCCACACACAAGCAAACGTGAAAGGAAACAAACAATGATATAACAAATTCATAAGTATAGAAAACATGTACAAGTGTGGTAAACATAAACAAATAAATTCACAAGTAAACATAAACAAGTTCATGCATAATTTCTATACAACATATACATTAATTACAAAACTCAAAAATAAAGGAATTATTGTGATGCGAAACAATAAACTAATCCCCGACAACAGCGCCATTTTGCTGAAGCGGTAGAGTGGCAAGCAAAAAGTAAAGTATTAATTTTACATGGCAATATAGGTTATATCGTATCGTGTCCATAGAGATTGGTATCGATTCACCATTCGACAAAACATTCGTTAATGAGTTTGTGGGGAAAATGGGTTGAAGTAAGAAAAGGGTAAAAACTATTGACAAGAAAATAAATTCATTCTTCCAAGGAGAAACTTATCAAGCATGCATATAATCCACTCCTCACAGACTTAAACCTATCGATCAATTATACTCAACCTACAATACTCTTCAATATCATCACATGTCAAACACAACACCCAATGTATCACCTCGGAAGCGATCTCTCAACCACCTCAACAACACAGAAGTCAACCGTGCCACTCGTGTTAACGATCTCTCAGTCAACACAACCAACACAAATGCATTAATCACAAACATCCTAAGTTAATAATAGCACTAAATCTATCTCTAGAATCTAGACAGAATTATACAATCATCAAGATAAGAATTCGAGCAGTATATGTCTATAACAACCCAAATCCCTAGCACAGAGCAAAAAATCAAGGATAATAATCCACAAAGATTTGTAAAGCAAATTAAATATAACGTCATGGGCGACAAATATACATAAGATCAAAGTAAATACATATACAAATCTAACTAAAAGAGAATACACAAAGAAAAAGAGAAATGAACCGCAAATCTTTTAGATTGTCAGAGCCGGTCAAAGAGAAATCCATCCCGAATCATCCGTGAGCAAGCTTCATAGTTGTTATCTAAGCTAATCTAGTGCAAAAATGAGGTTGATGGAGTTGGGAGATCAAAAACCACACCTAAAATCATAACCAAACAAAAATGAAACAAAATGAAAAATAAAGAAGATCTTCCCCGCACGTGTCACCCGACGACATAAAGCTTCGCCCAACGACGAATCCTATATACAAGGCCCAGGTTACGCCACACATGTAACTAGCCAAGAATATCTTCTCTCGCCCGACGACAGACTCACATCGCACGACACTGCAACTCTTCCCCGCCTAGCGACACAGACGCGAAGCAAGACATAAACATTTGGAAAATTGGCCCCTCTCGCTCCACCGTCGCCCCGCGACGCATACACGATGGCTCTCGCCCGGCCATCGCCTGGCGATGCACACCAATCCATAAACTTTTGTTGCTTTCTCTGCACAACCTCAAATGACTCTCTCTTTTGCCTTATTCCTTTATTGATCAAACACACATCTTGGAGCTCCGATTGGACTTTATTCTCAATGCTCCAATAATGCAACAAATACCTACAAAGTGAATACAAAACTATCAAACGACACACTATGTACACGAAAACACAAATATATGTATAAACTAAACGTATTTACACAAAAGTTGGGTTTATTCAACCTATATTAACAACAAGGAGTCGATAAGTGCAACAAAAAATATATACAAAAATAACTACAATTTGCACTTATCACCAATTCAATACTAGGGTGCATCCTGTGAGTACGATAGGATATTCACTTGATGCACCGAGGTCTCCTCAAGTCGGATCTATCAGAGTTGGACCTTTAAATTTACTTGAGATAAATACCCGCTACGAAATATGAAGAGAACATGGGAACCCAATCCCTGAAAATTGTAAAACGTATCACTAAAGCATCAGATAAAGCAATTTGATGAGCCTCAGGCCACGTCATCGAAGAAGTCGCGACCACCCAAACATACATCAACAAGAAAATGCAACCCATCGACGCCTAGGACACCGTCCAGTAAAAAAAGACGCTTTAAAGTGTGGCCCAACCGAAATATTGACGAAAGACAACAATCGAATATCTCAAATATGGTTCGACCACTCTGAAGTCCCCTCGAACTACCTCGTCAGTTCTTTATTTATTTGTAATAAATTCAATTTATTGTTAATATATATATATATATATATTACTTCAATTATGTTGAATATTTAAAAAAATTTCAAAAAAATGAAAATATATTTAATCTTATTGTGTTCTATTCATCTAAAAAATGGTTAGTTTAGTTTATTTAATTTGATTTTTATTTTAATCACAAAAGTTAAAAAAAATTATTTGATTATGTAAAATAAATGAAAAAGAATAAGTTTATTCTATTTTCATATTATTATTGCTTTTTAAATCTTAAATAAAAATCCAAAAAAAATTATTTTAATTTATTTAGCTTTAATTAAAAAATGGGTCTTGTTAATCAATACCGTCATACACTCTTTAAAGATTTCAAAAAAAAAATTGATAAAAAAGTTAATCATTTTAATTTTCAAGACATTAAATACATATATTTTCACGAAAAATATACTATTTTAAAGTTTTAAAGAATGTTCCATTTCTTTAAAAAAATTAATAACATTAAATTTAAATTTAAATATATTTACTACCAATTTTGAATTCCCTCTTTGATCACACCCTAACCCTAATTTTGATCACCGCAACACTTTCACAACACTTTCACAACACATACCACCATCAATACCTTCATCTTCATCCGAAACAGATCCAAATCCGGCCGCACCTTTTTCTCGCCGGAGGACTGCAACCGGGCAGAAAACCGCCGCACGCAGCGCCTGCGTACCAACATCTACAAACCACCACTAACAACCTTCATCACCATCTCCTTGTTCAAACACCCACTTGCTTCATCCATCATTAACAACAATCACACAGAATTTTCAAATATGAATGAGAACATGAAGCATTTTCAAAAGAAATTGACAGAATTGGAACTCGAAGCTGAACATCTTCTTTTAGCCCGACATCAGGTAATTACAAATTTCATATTCGAGGTCACTCATGCTACCATAAATAATTTAATTCATTCAAAACAAAGTAAAATTCAGCTTATATTTTTACGTTGAGTGCAACAATGCCACGGTAAAGAGAAAACAATGTGTTTAAATCTGTTATGCTATAGTTTTTTGGTTCCTTTTTATGAAGTATGTGTGCTAATGTAATCTATTGATGCCTTCGAATAGTCCCTTGAAACCACGAAGAGCTTTTTAAGAAGTATGTGTGCTAATGTAATCTATGTGGGTATGCAATTTTTTCATTTTGGTGAATGTACAGCTGGTTGAGAATGATAAGTTGAGGAATGGGAACAGAGAAGCACTTACTGCGTTAAGGAAAAAGGCTCGGACAACAACGAGTAGTGTTCCATCTCCTTTTGGATCAATAATGAAGGGAGTTTCAAGACCTTTGGTGCAAGAGGTGTGTACCACCTGTGGTAACCATGACTCTTTTGAGCAAACGTGGACAATGTTTCCAGGAACTGATCTGTTTGTTGGAATTCCATTTCATGCTGCTCATACTATATTGGAAACAGGTTTTTTATTCAATTCTGCACTCACCGCCCCCCTAACTGATAAGAAAATTAATAATGAGAAAAGAAGTATGAAAAATATCCGTAAATGTATGCTTGTGCTATTTTTTATTTTTTTCATCCACTCCGGAAAAAACGCTGATTAGTCATGCTTCTTTATGTTGCCATTCAGTAGTATTTATTTTTTTGATAAAAGCTTGTAATCGTTGGAATTTTTCCATCTTTGCTTCAGTGCAATTTTGGAGTACATGTGAGATTATTTTCATATTTTTTAGGTTATATGCATTAGTTTGGAGTCTGGATTATTCATCAGTATCCTTGATATAAAAAACAATATGCAGATGCAATATTGAATAGCAATATTGAATATTTTAAACCTTTTTCCCATTGTAATTTTTTTAAGATATTAAATTTCCCTTCATACATTCTCTTCATTGGTTCAAACTGATTGTGGTGTGCAATTTCATCACGTGGTATACATGTTGAAATTGAATGTAATTTCACCTAAATTTGGTTTTCTGCTTTTTGTAAGTTTTTTGTAATTTAACTTGAATTGCTCTCACATGCCTTTATATTAGTTTGTTTTTCATCCTGAAACAAATAGAATAGAATCTATAGTTAGTAGCTACAAGCAAATGATCGAGCATGGATGCTAAGTATTATGCATCAACTTGTAGTTCATAAGTTCTGATGAGACTGAATATTTCTCGATAATTATTACTATTGTTCGGAAAGTCCAAGTTTGAACTAAATCTGTGTCAATTCTTTTTTGTCTATAAGCTGATTTCTATTGAAATTCGGTTGGTATATTCTCACGGGTGTGTAATTACAGATCAAACTCAGCTTGACTTTGAGGCAAAGAAACTACAGAGCATTGTGAAGGAAAAATCACTTATTATATCAGATACAGGTGCTCTTGCAGACAAGATTAATCCAGGAGTGCTTAGATCACTTGTAACCTTAAATGACAAACCAAAGTAAGATGCTTTATGCTGACTATGGTGTGTTACAGTGTCTTTTGGAAGGTTTATTCAAGTCTTGATGTTGAAGACAAGTGAGATCATGGATTATCTCTATCTATCAGCTTTACTTCTTCTAGATGCACCAACCAGTGTTACTATGCTTAAGTTTCTCTGAAGTCACGCTCTATAAAATATGAATGTTGAAGTTTTAGAAGCTGCTCATAAGACTTATATCACAACCTGATTAAAGAGTACAAAGTTATGAGTCATACAAACTTCTTTTATTAGTTGAGGCTTATTATTACAGTGACACCTTATTTAGAGTTGTTTCTCTATTGAGTGGATTCTGTTACCAAATATCTAAATGGTGCAATTTGAATGCACAACAGTGTAAAATCATATTAATATTGTTCATAACTGTAAGACTTATTTTCTATATTTATAGTCCTTTAATATAAGACTCTCTTCAAATTTTTACATTTTTAATGAATTATACTTATTAAATTTCTAATTGAAAAAAAACTAATTTTGTTTTTCTCTCTCTCCTATTATTATATAACTAAATAAAGGGTTAATTATGTAAAACTAATATTTATATACAAGTACTACTTTGATTTTAAATATAAGAAAAAAAATTGTTTGATGATATGAAATATAAATATTGACTTTTTAAATAAAGTCAAGTATATTCTAAAAGAAAATTGATACACAAAAAGGAGTGGGAAACTTATGCCAAAACTCACTCAATAAGACATGAATTTAAAAAAAGACATAGTCTTATCTTATAACCAAAAGAATGGAATCAAAATAAATTAGGGAATTAGAATTGTGACTATATCAGTAAAACTTGCTAAACCACCTTCGATTTTGATTGCAAAAGGACAATAGAAAAAAAAGGTGTTGGTTGAAAATTGAGTGGTTCTTATACAGATAATATATGGAGGCTAATGAGCAACCTCTAGTCCGAAGCATCTTCTTAGTAGGCATCTAATTATGCATAATCTCCAAACAATGAATGATTTTGATAGAGGTATGTCAGAGTCCTAATCTGCTTTAGCCCACAAAAGCTTAAGATAATCATGAGACTTAAATTTGTAGGCTTCTTTGAGAGATGAATGTCATGTTCCATTAATAGGCCAAATCAATTGATTAACTGAATAAGTGATATTCAAAACAATTTCCTTAACTTTCCCCTCTATAAGAGTGATCCTCTATAAGCAGAAAGTTTTGCAACCATTTTATCATCAATGTGAAGCAGATGCATCTTTTTAACCTTACCTTTGAAAATTGGGACCTCTAGGTAATTAAAAGGCAAAGATCCTTTTGTGAAGCCTATCAAGACTTGAATAAGTCTAACTTCAGGCATAAAACCATCATAAATTGTTCATTTGGCGTTGTTAAAAATCTGTCCAGAGACTTGGGCATTAATTAAAGAAAAGTTCAGAAAGAATCCCATCCATGAGATGGGACATGAGTAGACCTTCAACCTTTCGTAAGATCTAACTTACCCTCACTCACCAACAATGAGATACTCCTACTAAGCACTTCATCATATAAGCAAAATATCATATGTGAAAGAGTGTCGTATCGTCTGACCCCTCTCGCATGTTTGATGTAACCATGAAAGGATCCATTGATTATCAGAGACATATGACCAAAATAAAGGATAACAAAAATTCAGTTGTAGAATATTTGATTGAAACCAAACCAGAATAGCACTCTAAGGAAAAAAAAAATCTCAATTCAAGGTGTCAAAAGCCTTACAAACATCTACTTTGATTGACATGTTGCCATTGAAGGCTCTTTTATCCAAGAGGTTAATAGCTTTAGAGGCAAAATAAATCCCATCCTTGATGTTTCTACCTTTTATAAAACCTTTTTGTTTCTTATATATTGTTCTGGGCCGACCATATTCTCCATATTCTCAGCGATCCGTTCCCATCTTCAGATATTCGACCACAGTAAAGAAAGAGCTCCCTTAATTGATCTAGTCCAAGCATGTTCTTCCTCTTAACCGACCACCTCCAGTCATAACATCCCGAATCCAACTCGAAAACATACTAAAACTTCTAGAACATTCCCTTGCCCATGGAACCTCCAGTAATCTAGATGCAGGAGATCCATCCCTCCAAAGCATCCAACGCTATTCGACTCTTCTATAGATACAAATGAGGTCATTTTAACTGACAAGTTTCAAACACATTTTGAATACTCTCTCATCTTTTACATACTGACTTGAGCGTTGGAGTGCTAACTTTGCAGAAACACCTCCGCTCCGTCGCATCGGAAGCTCTCTTATGCTGCAGCTTCCGTAACTCCACATATTTCTGGTTCTGGTACAGAGCAGTGGTGCCGTCTGTGAGAACTGACATTTGATTCCTACGTATCTTACGATTTCCTATTTCCAAGTACACTCCTCAAGTGTGAGAGTCTCCTCGACTTCGAACTAGAGTATCTAACATATCAAAGGAAATATGGTTGCGATCAACCAAATCAAGTTCAACTACGATAAAGAGACACTGATTATCTAGATATTCATTATTCTGTACTTTCGAACGTCATCAATTCACGGTTGAATCGAGGACCACTCGTTCAGCCACCGCGCCTGAAGCCGTTTTGGCAGTCGCTGGTGTGGCACCATCAACCACCAGTCGACAGAACACTACTCCTCTGATCAGTGCATTTTGATGCACAAGATCAGTGCATTCTGATGCACAGTCTTTTACTATTGTGCCATGGAAATTCTATAGTTTTCTATGTTATTTTTGTTATTTTTAGTGCGTTTCTTAAGTTTAGCTTATTTATGCTTTTATTTTAATTTCGTTACTTATTTTCTGAATAAGCAGTAATTTGACACCTTATTACTGTGCAAATCATGATTTGAGTTACGAATTCCGTTTAACGCATTCTAATATGAGTTGAAAAGTTAAAAGGATAAGCTACAAATTTTGTGTTGAAGTCAGAATCCAATTCGGAGTTGAGAAGAATCGAATTATGTATTTTCGTGCCAGACTTAATAAAATAATTAGTTTTAGGCTAATTTTTATGTTTTTCGGGTTGGTTTCTATTAGGGCCCGAACTTTCTTGTATCATTTAAAAAAATTTCAACTTTAGTTTTAGAATTTAGTTTTCACGAAATTAGGGAATACACTAAGAATTATATGGAGAGCTAATTTCTAAAGGTTGATAATGCTGTATTAGATTCTATAACTTTGAGGTTTTTATAATTTTTAATTCAATTTTGATTTCTTTTCAATTCGGTCTATGAATTCAATTGCTTTTGTTTTCTTAATTTGATTGCTTCTTATAGGATATACTTGATTAAATTCGATTATGTTCATGTTCCTTATGTTTAACCGTGTTTAGCGTAGC